TTCTGTTTATGTATGTCCAACTTCAAATATATGATACGAAGTCTACATAATTTTCTAGGAGAATTCATCTAAATTCGAATTTAATTATCTCATTCTGATGAAATAATTTGTTTTCTTGACGAAAATAAGCGAAGTATATACGATAAAGTAGATATTACTATCAATGGAAGTCCTTGACGAAAATGAAGAGAGTTTCGAATATAAGCGATGTATTGGCTATAAAAGCAGCCATTTAAATGTTCCCTATGACGTAGATTGGTTTCTTATCTTCAGACAGAGTGAAATGAAACTATGCACACACTGAGCAACCGTCGGATTGAAAAGTGCTCGCTGTTTGCTTAGTTGATGACTAATCATTATAGAATAAAAAAGCAACTTTACTTTGGTTTTTTTCCCAGTGCTTCTGATATATAAATAGGAGTGATGATAAGTTTTTAAGAACTGACACAATATCTCAAAATATTCCATTCCAAGAATCATGCTAGGTGAGCAATTGAATAGTGTTGAATCTCGTAACCTTTTGTCAACTATTGACAAGATGCGCAAACTCTTACATGACGAGAAAGTGAATCTACCGGAAATTGTGGTTGTTGGTGATCAATCTGTGGGTAAATCATCCGTATTAGAAGCTATATCTGGTATTCAATTACCTCGGGCCCAGAACATTTGCACTCGTTGTCCACTAGAATTACGGATGAAAACAGCTCAAGATGAGGAATATGCAACAATACGTAGTAGTGTTGGTTCTGTGACAGAAAAGAATATCGATGATTTAACAAAGATTGCTGATGAAGTGACTCGATTGACATCAGAAATCGCCGGTACAGGATTAAATGTGAGTCCAAATCCGATCTATTTAACAGTGTACAAGCGAGATATTTTGTACGATTTGACCCTTATTGATCTTCCGGGTATTACTCGGAATGCATTGCCTGGCCAAGCAGAAAATATTCATCAACAAATTCTGGATTTAATTAACAAATACATTAAACCACCAACTGCAGTAAGTCTATCACTTTTTTCTGTTAGGATATCAACCTCATTTTTGCTCTTCCTATTTAATGCTGACCAATCATTTCGCAATGAGTAATTGCAGGAACAGCCATGATGTGAGTGCAAAGATGAACGATAGAAAATGCAGACAAATGTATGCCATCATTGTAGACAATGAATCAAGAAGCGATTGGTAACATGTCTCGAGTTTTGCTTTCAGAACTATTATTCGATTCCGACCCTAACTCTAACGAACTTGACTTTGAGTTAAAGAAGAAATTTAAGTACTGTGAAATTTACGAAAGTTTTTTGAGTTTTGTAATTCACTGAGAACGTCTAAAAGGCAACGCAATATTATATGATATATTTTGTATCCTTGTGGACTATTTATCTGACATCTTTAGATCGTATTACACGTCATTCCAGCTTCAGTCGACTTTACCACATCAGAATCAATGAAACTTGCCAAATTATTTGATCCATCATGTCAGCGCCAGCTCATTGCGGCCTCCAAAATTGACAAATATGATAAGGGCATTTCAGAAAAATTACAAGGTCGTGGATCTGGTTCAATGGATCTACAATTAGGCTGTATCGCTGTCCTGAATCGAAATCAAGACGAAATCGATCGGAATATTTCATTCAGTGAAATGAAACAGCGTGAAAAGCAATTTTTTATCACTCATAAAGAAGCATTTGAACCTTTACCTGATGAATTTAAAGGCAGTGAACAATTGGTTCGACGTCTAGCGACTATTCAACAAGAGCGTATTCGCTCTACATTTCCAGATATCATTAAAAAATTAAAAAACCAACTAGCGAAGAATAAAGCTCAACTGAAAAAGATTCCACCTTCTGTGAATACTGAAGCTGAATGTTGGACAAATTTTCAATCGATGATCAATGCTTATCGGGAAAGTATCCATGATAATGTGAAAGGCGAGTATGATCAGGTTGCATCAATGGAAGTGACCGAATTACCTATCACATGCACAGATGTGGATGCTGCTTCTAACGATAACATCGATTCGGATGCACAAGACGATGAATGTGAAGAAGAAGAGTCGTTAGCCGAGGAAAACGACGAAGACCATATCGCTTATCATATTTATCAATTACAACGTAAATTCCAAAATGAATGTCGACAAAGTTTCCCGGATTTTTTTTCAAGTAAATATCATAAAATCGTACTTCGTGAAATTGATCGAACAGCTGGTGTTTCTTTACCAAATTTTCCCAGTTACCAAATTATTGTAGGACTCTTCCGAAAAGAATTACAGAAATTGCCTCATTGCTGTCATGCATTGGTCAAGCAGATGCATGAGTACATGTCCCAATGTTTGCTACAATTATTCGAACAGGCTTTCAATAACGATTATCCTCGTCTGAAAGAACGTCTAAAAGAAATTATCATCAAAAGACTCGATGATGTACAAGAAGTCTTAATGGAACGTGTCAATGGAATACTGGATATGGAAAAACGTGTATTTACACTGAATCATTACTATATGGACACTGTGAACAAGTTCAAAGAAAAGGACAAAAAGAAAAATGATGCTCATGGCGGAACAAATGCTCTTTCAGCTTCTTTAAGTCCAAACCCAGCCTCAACTGCGATTGCTAAAAAATCTCCTGGCACAGTTGCTTATGCATCTATGTCCAATGAAGCTCAAGCTGCACAAGATATTCAAATTGCATTACATGCTTACTCAAAGGTAAAATATTCTATTTGGTTCTTGATAGATATCTAAGATCAAAGGATACACTAAGTTCACAATAATTTCTTGCAAATATCTTATGGTGTTTTGAATAGAATATTACATAGAAGATTCTTGAAGTGTCTTTTCTCTCTTAGGTCGTAGAAAAACGTATGACTGATAACATTGCACAAACATGTTATTATTATTTTATCACGCAATGTGCGTTAAAGTTGGACCAACTCTTAAGCACTGCAATACCATCATCGCAATTAATTCAATACATGCGTGAACCACACAAACACGCCTCTCTTCGAAACAAACTCACTCGTAGTATTCAAGCTTATGAAGAAGCATTACAATTCGGTCTGGCATATATGTGACGCTCTCAATAATTATTTCTTGCCTAATGAAACTAAAATGAACTCGTAAAAAAATTAGAGCAAAAGTGAACTATATTAACTAAGACTACCATAAGACTTCGATTGACTTGACATTGAGAACGGAAATCTGTTGTTTCTGAAGAGACCACCAAAGCCTGATACAAAAACACGCTTCGATAAGATAAAATACTCGCCGGTATCGAGAGGCCAGTTTGGTATAACGTGTCGCGTAAACGTGTTTGAATTAACAGATAAAACCGAGATAGGTGTGGATGGATGATGTGGGCTTGGGTGTATATGTGGATGTGGGTGTATGTGTGGGTGTGAGTGTGAGTATGTGAGTGTGGATATGGGTCTGGGTGGGTGTGTTGGTGTGGGATGGGGTGTGGGTGAAGGTGTAGGTATGAGTGTGGGTGTGAGTGTGAGTGTGAGTGTTCACTTTATGCACACACCCACACCCATCCTCAGGGTAGCTACGTTTTAAATCCCTTTGAACAGATTATCGGAAAAGGGTTCTAGCAATCTGCACCTCAAAAATCAATTTTCTGGTTTCTAGACGAGCAAATGATGAATAACAAAACTTGTTGCTTTTCTTGTCATAACTATTCATCGCATTTGATTTTTTTCTCAAAAATTTTAGGCACAAGGCTAGTTTGGAATCGTTAGGAGTCTTTCGCTCCCCTTCTGAATACCCAAGTGAGTGACAGCATTCTATTTGCTGCGTTCTGTCTTGAAAAATAAAAATAATAAATATGTTGCCCCGTTGATGTTGTTTCTCTCTATGCCTACATCCACACTCATACCTTATTCGATAAGAATTTTTTCGTTCTATTAAAAACGTTACTATAAAATTAAAGCTTTGCATTTTTTTGTTTTCTTGTTTGCACAAGAAGTAAAAGAAAGGAAAAAACTGTCAGATTGTATTCATTACATTGGAGACCACACGATACGTTTTCAAATTTCACAACATTGTGTTGCGAAATAATCGGTATGAATACATACAGAAAATGAAGGAATGATGATATTTTTTATTTGGATATAAGAACTTCTGGACAGACTCTGTAATATATTGTTAGAATACATTGCCAACTTCTCTGTCCAGAAGTTAGAAGCTTTTGTATTTAATAATTTTGTTTAAAGTCTATAAATGGAGAATGAAAAACACTGTCACGATCACATTTATAAAAAGAATAATAGGAAAAATGAAATTTTTCTTTTTTTCTCAAATATTAATATAATTATGGTTTCAAATAATCTGAAATATTGTAAAATCCCATTATTTTTATTTATTCTGCTTCACACACATACAAATGCTCGTTTGAGATTTTAATATTTGATGGATAATTAATTTCTCATTTTCAAATGTGATGAGATTGAATGTGTTCAAAATCGAGACTACTACAAATTTAAAGATAGCCTTTTACCTCGGAGACCTCAAATAATGTTATTCGATTCATATCTTTAGCTCGTGCTACATTGCATCAGGTCTTTTTAGAAATTAGTTTTTATTTACAGAAAGTCAACGTATTTATACCTATGATATTTTTAGTGGTCTTCATCGGATAAGTTGAAGAATATGGCAAAATTACCTGAGAAAAAGTCAACGAAACAATGTTCTTAATTACCCTCATCGTATAGATCATTATACTCGCTTCTTATATTATTCTTGGGTTCTTGGTAAAAGACAATATCTCGAAACTGAGTTATGTGTCCTGGACAATATCGACATATGGAATCCTGAACTTAATGTTACTCATATGATTACTTCAATAAAGTTCGGAATCGATGCTGTTATCGCCCTACAGTTACCACCAGAAGATGTTATTAATCAAGAAGATTGATAACTTACTTGAAAAAATACGGGATGAGGTTCGGATAGATAGACACAAAATTTTGAGACTTACCTCTGATGATAATTATTTACTTGGAAAAATCGTTCGTAGAGAAATTTATTCAAATGCACCTAGTTTGCTCAATTTAACCTCATTTGTTGGTGTTTTCAGTGACATTGATGTCATCAAACAATGTATATGGAGTCGTTTTCCATTAAGCTATACTCTTCGACTGGTGACGACGTTAGGCTCACAACCCAGTCAGACAAAATTTTTCCAAAACGCGTTTAAACACTATACTTTTCAAGATCGTTTTTGGATGCTACTTGAGGTTTCCGATTGCTACCCACAAACGACCAACAAAGTACATCATGAAAACGCAAAAAAATTTAACGCGCGCTATTTTCACTCCACCGAAAACGAAACTTTTTCTGGCCATGTAAACGTATACCACTACCCAGATCGAACATCACGACGACCAGAAACGGCCGTAAACTTAACCATCGACATCAAAAATGCCCGAAAAATTTCATGCCCAGATTTCGCTATGCAACATGCGGCCGACAAAGACACCACAGCATAATCAAAATGAAACTGTCTGACTTTCAACGACTTTTCAGCCGTCCTATAGTCGGATCCAGTGGCCATACTCCGGCCAATCCGATGGCTGTTGGAGAAACTCTATCGACTCATGCATGAGTCCCCTCCCAGTCCTACATGCAGTAATCGAATTCCGGGTTTTCATTGGTCAATACAAAAGGTCCAATCAAATTTCAGGGAGAATTTCTTCTCTTATTATAAGGACATGTACAAGTCATGCTCGGGCCGATCCTAGGGTTCTTGCGGACGCTCTATCGATTGATGGGTATATGTGTAGGTCGTCTCCTGACCCTTTAACGAGATATAGAATTCGGGGATTCAATCGGTGAAATGTAGTTGAGCAAAGACGTTGCCGCAGTGGAACTTTTCGTTTTTTTTGCGGTTATATTGGCATCATGTTTTAGGCCATAACGAAGGATTGGTATGGATGTTGTGAAGGTTCATTTTATTGGACTGTCTGGATTTTTGTGTAACTGTGATGCGCTGTTCGGTTATGTGATTTGTGAGTTCTAATTTATTGAGCAGCTGTCAGAAGATGTTCCTTTTGGTTAATGAGCAGAAAGAATGACTGTTATGATTTTGCCTTTTGGCGGTATATGCATTATCTAGTATACGGTTGTTGCCGATTGCTGGATACGCCATTCAGTAACATCTAGTGGGGTGTGAATGGGTGGGGTGGGTGGGTGTGAGTTTGGTTGTGAATTGGCTTTTTCTATTTACTCACATCCACACCCCACCCCCACCCTCACACCCCAAAACACATAATATTTTGGTCTTTTGAACAAATCAGTATTTCATCAGCGTTTAATCTATAAGAATTTATTGGTTTATCGCGTGAAAGCGCACTTAAATAATGCTGATATGATATTGTAAGCGTGCAAACGTCTATAAATATACAGAACTAATCGAAATGAAAATTTTGTTGTTGAATAGGCATAGTATTCTTTAATTTTTTTGAGTTATCAAGCTATCTTATAGAAAAACGAAAAAAAAATTGCACAGTAACACCCTAAAAAACTATTATTTTATATAAAATTTAACGTCTATGATTCAACGTTCCGAACACTGAAAGAAAATTGCTAATAAAAAAACGCCTGGATGTATGGAATTTCTGTGCAAAACGCGCATCCCAAACAAAATAAGCGTTAAAACGCATTGGGTGTAGCTTTTTCAATCGTTTATGAGGATACATAAAACGGCTGTAGATATTTTAACAGTTTTCATTTACCTAAAAATAAAATAGTTGACGTTTACATGACCTGTTTTTTAAAAACGCCCAAAAACGCTCACTAATTGAGTTTTTAAGTGTTTAAACGCATTTTTGAAAAATTTTGTCTGACCGGGTAGTAGTTAGGAACAGAGTTATTATCTTTGTACTTGAGGCAATATTCAATGAAAATTAAATAATATTCTATAGTTAAACCAATCTATAGAAATGTTAAGAAAATTTTTCAAAAGTACTTCTATTTCTGTTAATCAGAAAAATAACCTAGATCAATAATTGTAATCTTTCGTATAATTAATCAAATGATTTTTTGTTTTTGAGCAAACAACTTGATATTGTTCTTTTCTTGAATATCAAAAGAAAATAAATTATTTATCTTATTAGTGAGAGAACACAAAAAAAAAGGAGGCACGGGACTGTTGTTTTTTATTAGTGACAAAACACCGGTGAATATACACAAAAATAAAATAAAATAAAATAAAGGTAATTATATATTATTAAGTGATTGTAATGATTGTGATCGAGCATGAACACGTAAAAGACGTTCATGTTCACGTTGATGTATTTGTAATAATGTTTTTGTTTCACGTATTTGTTCTCGTTGTTTTAATAAACGTAAATAATTATCTTCACATTGTGTATGTAACTAAAAACAAAAAGAAAAAAATTATATATCAATTAAATAAATAATAATAATAATAATATTACTTTATCTAATTTAGATTTTTCTTTTGTTAATTGTTGTTCTAAATCTTTTTCTTCTCGTTCAGCTTTAGCTATTTCTTCACGAATATGAATAGAATCTAATCGTTTTTTACGATCTAATTCTTGTTTTAATTGTTGTACTTCTTGTTCTTTTTTACGTCGTTCAAATTCAGTTTCTTTAACTGATTTACGTAATTCATGTTCAACTTCTTCATTTTTACTAACAGTTTTCTATTAAAAAAAAACAAAAAAAATAAAATGTTTGATAATAATAATATTATTTACTTGAAAATGTCGTAAATGATCTTC